TATTTAGAATTAATGATATAGGATACTCATTCATTAGAAAGGGTATGGAGACTGAATGGTGACTGAATGAAGAAATATACTTATTTAGTCATATGAATGCACAAGGTAAGGATTACTTGAAACAAAGGAATACTTCACTTGAAATGTAAAAGTGAAAATGAGAGAATAATTGTGGAGCTCTTGCTAAATGACAAAACCAATAGGAACTAGTATGATGAGGGTGATTGTTCATATGGACGTGCAATTCTTGAAGATATACTTAATAAAGAAGAAAAAAATATATCCAAGGAAATTTATATTTTAATTTATTTCCTCTATTTATTTTTAAAATAATTTACGTAATACAGATGTGGTATCCATAACTGTACTCTTCTTAAAGTGACTCATGTTCTTTAAATCTCGATTAAATTTTGACGTTAATTATATATTGCTTGTATAAAATTCCTATTAAAGAATAAGTAACTTTCAATAGATTTTTTTATGTATGTATATATAAAAAAAAACATCCCATTGAACTATCTATCCAGTAGTTGCCTTGTCGGGCTTAATTAATTAAAATTATATAATGTTTCTGCAGATTTATATTTATTCAGTATTTTATTTATCGAAGTCTAAGTTGACATTAGAGCTTTATTAGCGCCTGATTATTTGATTTTATCTTTTACGTACCTGACATAATAAAAATTAACAGTGATTTATGTATTGGCATTTCATTAGTCTACACTTTCGCAACTATTTGATTTTCGTAATATATTAATTTAATTTTAGATAATTAGTGGGTACCTACCAATTGTTAGCATCTATGTTATCTAAAATACACAATTTACAAATCAAAGAAAGTAAATGGAGATGCATATTTTTTCATCTATCACAATAAGATATTGCTTTATTTTAAATAACATAAATACTAGCAACTCTTAAATTGAAATTTCTAGGTTCCAGTACTAAGTTATTTTTTCATTTGTAACTGATAATTTTGATTTTTTTCATAACTGACAATTTTGAAATGTTTGACTTTAAAGTTATCTAAAAATACCCATATTTTTGCGCAAATATTTGGCCACCTAAAAGTAATTCGCAAAAATAGATACCAGTATTAGATGATAATGCTTACAATCATCATTATTTCAGATATTTTTAAGTCTTTACTAGACAGCCGACTGGGCTATATTCCGAGTATTTCAGCTGCGTCGTCGCAGAAAACGAACCCGTATTAACATAAAAAGGGGTATTGCATTGCATATTGCAATTTGAAAATTATGATCCATTCGGAAAGCAATAAGTACCTACTAAACAAATTGGGACACAAAAAACATAGTTATAAAGCTGGTTAAATTCTCTTCACAGCGGTACTTACTTTTTAAATTTGGGCTAATATTCGCAAGAAATTGCGTTCTAATACTAAGGAATTTAATGAATTACTTGCCGAGTAAATGCGCTTTAACGTGTTGATGTTTTTGTTTTGTTTTCTTTTATTCGCACTAAAGGAAAAAACCGCAAGTAATTTATTAAATTTTTTAGTATTGAAAACCAATTTGTTGCAAATTATGAACCCAAATTTAGTACCCAAAGTACCGTTGTGTAAAAGAGAATTTAAAGAGCTTGAAAACGATGTTCTACTTGCAATTTAAACCTTTAAGGGTGGAATCCACAATCGCTTCAAGGAATGAAGTGGCGCGATCGAAAATATCCAATGAAGTGCCCCCTTGAAAATAATAAATCGACAAGTCCAAAATTTTTGGAAAAAATGGCTTTAAGTGCAAAAAACGACTGTTTCGTTTTGTAAATATTTCATACAATTCTTTACTTTTAGAACGCAATTTTTTGCAAACCATTAGTCCAAATTTAAAAGGTAAAATACCATTGTAAAGAGAATTTAATGAACTTTAAACCGATGGATACATAACCTCCTTTCTTTAAGCTAGTTAAAAATGAATGGCTTTTTGTTTCGCATATTGTCCTCCATATCCTCCATTTTTAATTGCAACATGACCTCTGACACTTTTTCTAAAAAATATACACTCAGAGAATGACTACTCTAGTATCCTAGAGGAATATTAAAAAGTGCCCTAGCCTGACCAGTGGAATATAAATATTGCACTCAGTGTGAACTAGTTTTAACAATGGAAAACTTAATAAGTGCAACCTCCTTCTGGACAGCCTTCGGTTTTGGAATCGGGGGTTGTCTAATTCTGTGGTGTTTATTATTCATTAACATTACACAATAGTCAGGTCTGTTAAACTTATAAAAAATATAACCTTGCTACCTACATATTTGTTATATAATAATAACAAGTAAGAGTAAATAATCATAAAGTTCATTTGTAATAAAAACGCATAAATAACTCTAAAAAAGGTTGTAAAAACAACAACAATTTATTTTGATATTATTTTACTTCGTAGGAGTTATAATAAAAAATATTTGATGCATTGTTATAAATAGATTGTCTTATAAAATTTTCTTCCTACTCACGTTTAGAAATAATCTATTTTAATAGTATTCATTTATATAAACATAAAAAGAATGATGACATATATATGCATTTTATATTCAATATGTTGTCAAATATTTCAGCTAAATTATAGCTAAAATAATATGTCAAACGATCAGTTCTATACGTATTTTAAATATAAGCATTGTTTGAATTTGAACAATGGTATTAATGTTTTCTTCTTCATGAATACAAACCTGGAAGATTTAAGAATTCTAAACTACAGTCAACTCCTGAATAGAACAGTCCAAAGATGTGGGTATTATCTTTGGTGGTATTTCATTTATCATTATTTACTCTAGTAGCTTCCAGATGACCTTCATTATTAACGAATGAATTGTATTTAATATCACATTTTACGCAAATAAACTGTTTTTTTTTGTTGAATCTACCAGAATCATGTGTCCTAAACAGAAGGAGAGAACCTTATGCATTTGACCTGCCAACCATCTTGACCTGGGTACAGCAATTGGAACTCGTACCGGAAATCGAGATATTTGGTATGTTTTTTCCTCTCCTTCAAGGTGATGTTATTCTTTACGGATGACTAGAAGTCGATGACATACATCACTTTGCTTTGATGGAGGACTATGTCAGGCTTATTGGTTTGATTTCACCTGACAGTCCAGAACCAGTAGTTTCAATAAATACGGCATATCTCGTTCTTGACGCCGGACTCACTATCCGGGGACGTAAGGCAGCACTGGTATTTAATCTACTCCGTACGAGTGCCTTAGGTGATAATATAGATATGGCACTCGTAATGTCGCGTTAGGTCACTCGCGTCTAGCGGCAGATAATCACAGACAATCATGACGTCACGCAGGAAAGAACATGCAGGACAAAGGGTATGTTCTTTTCTTTCTCTTTCAAAGATTTCAGTTATGATCGTCTATGACCATCTGCCGCTAGGCGCGAGGCATTAGGTCGACTGTTGTAGATCAACATGCGTATAGGCGACATGCGGAAAATATGTACATGAGCGGCAAGTCCTGCAGTTGATATTAGGAACTTACACACCACATCACACAGCTACGGTATACCAAGGTGACTTAGGGCCCGGTTGACTTTAAAATAGCGACTGTCAACCTATATTCGTATTGAAGACACAGTGCTGGGGTTTATCGACATGCTGCCAAAACAGATTTTTCTGCTCGGCAGCTCTGATTCGTGCTTTAATGTGATTTGGCTGTAGCTCAGTGACTAATTCTACATCAGCACCTCGCCGGCCTCCTCGCCTGATGTCGAACACGTGACTGAGTTCATCTGCTTCTCTTTTAACTGCCTTGAATAATACTGTGGCCACGCCTGCAATTTACATGATGTTTTAAGAATCGTAGAATCCGAGCTCCTCAGGATGTTACATTTCATACTCAGTACTACTCTGCCATGCTCCAGACTCAAAAGTCACCCCTCCTTTGACGTAGAAGGTACACACGAGCAACGGCCGATAAGGATAAATGCTTCTGTGAATATTCATAATCTTACGGGTATTTTGCTGAATTAGTGCAGCTCATCCACTATCTACTTTACTACTCCAAAGGAGTAGAGAAGAATTGGATTGTAGACATTTGGTTCTTCTCCAAAAGTTCGAAAGACAAAATCTCTCAGAGTAGGCTCTGTACTTGCCGCTTCTGTCCGCGAACAGCACCTCCTCAGAGACTTTTCCGCATCGTTCAGTCTTGAGATGGATGACTGCACATTTGTCCAACTTGAATTCCATACAAATTTCTGCATGTATCTTCGATCACCCTAAGAGTGTTTTGTAGTTCGCACTCTCCGGAGGTTATTCATATTAAATGGATGGGTGAGCTTATGTCTCCGGTCACAAAGTGGTCCACATTGATATCTGCGAGTTTGGTAGAGCCCAGACAACTGTAGCGGTGAGATGCAGAAGAGGAGAGAACTCAGGGAATCACCGTGGAAAATTCCTCTCTTAAATACCACCCGCTCTGATGTTATGGTTATGGCACTTCCTCCAGAGCGGCAGCAGCTGTTCTGTGCATCTCACCAGTGATGCTGGTACCGCAGGTGTAAGAATAGCTCATGTGATGTTGTGTGAAATGCCTTGTGGTAGTCGATCCAGATCGCCGATAGATTCCGCTTGTATTGCATAGTACCCCTAAACATTTTTTGGTGTTAACCAAAGCTAAACAGTCTTTCCGTAGTCTCCGAAACAAACAGTAATCGCAAATTACCTACGGCTACTTTCCACATCCTTCAGGGTTAGTGCCTGTAGATCCTAAAATCATGGACCTTAAGCAGGCGAAAAGAACATAGGATGACCGCCTTCTGCATTCCATTGATGTTCATGTCTTTGATCTGGCAGATTACATTGGAGGATTTCTTAGGCATCGATTTTTTTGTAGGTTGTTCAAGTAGTTTTTAATTGCATTTCCCTAGACTAATTAAGTGAGATTCTACTAATGCGTAGTAATTCGTTTCCAACACTCACTTTGAAATATTTTGAAAAAGTATTTAAATTATATAACAAAGTATTTCCATATTTCCATTGTAGCTTCGTGGTTGAGTGGGACACTTGCCTCTCACTCTGGAGTCCCGGGTTCGATCCCCGGTCGAGGAGCTAGGATTTTTTCTAAACCAGAAATTAATCCTAGTATACTCGGACATTGGGTGTGTGTCCATTGTCTCTAAATGTGTAGCCCTCTCTCGTACAAGGTACATTGAGGTACCTTCAGGATTACAGGAGGTTATATTACCTGTGATATTTAATTTAATTTAATATCAATATTATCTGTTTGGATTTTCCTCTTATTTTAGGTTGGTAAATATTTTTTATTAGATGTGAAAGGTATATCTTGTTATAATATATGGTAATTTGCTGTTACTGATCGATCATTTTTTTCAACATTTTGCTTTAATGTCTTCAGTTGGTGCTACTATAAAAAATTGAAATATTTCACATTAAATTTAAAAATATCATTAAGGCAGGCATTAAATAATATTGGCCTTAACACTGTATTCTGTGGCCCTCCATACTTGTCAGTTTTCATGTCACTTAACATATAAATTTTTTGTGTTATTGCTTATTTGCCAGATAACTTTTGAATAGTACATGCAAAATAATCATGAAACCCACACCTTCAGACATTGCAAGAAGCTGCGAATGGTAAACCGTATGCTTTGGTCAGATCCATAAAAATACAAAGAGCAGGATTTTTTCATCTACTGATTTTTAGATATTACATAAGCTATGTCAGTCTGTTCTCTCTAAACTCAAATTACCTATTAGAAAATACAATAGATATTTTTCTAGGTAAGTTACTATAAGGTTTTTTAATACTTTTTAAAAAACTTTAGTAAAATTTGACATCGGAGGATCGAGAAGTTAGCCATGTCTAACTTATTTTATTTTGTACATAATGCAAATCTGCATGCACCTGACCGAAAACAGTAATTTATTTAATACATATCTTAATACTTCTGCAACTTTATAAGAAATATCTTTTTTAAATTTCCTGCTAATACATTATCTACTAGTTTCAACTATTTCAATTTATTACCATCACAAAAAAAATGGATTAAACATGTTAGGGTCTTTATTTATATTTAATTGACTGCAATGATTCCCAATGACCTTCTTAGCTCTTTGTTTATCAACCTCAGTAAAATAATTACAAAACTCAGTGGCAATTTCTTTTTTATTCTCTATGACATCACCATCAGCTGTTTTCACTTTATCTTTTTCGTTATTTTTGTCTGTATCCAGGTACAAACGCAGCGTTAAGCAAAGACAATCTTTGCCTTAAGCATATTTTTAAGCCCATTGACGTTTTTATCCATGAAGAAATATATCTGGTCTACGAAATAGTCATAGTATTTTAGTAGTAAAATTTATTAACTAATTAAAAGATATTTCTATGACAAATGTGTAGTAAAGTAGCTCCTAAAAATGGAGTGCTAAAAATGTTATTAACATTTATGACATATTTATGGTAGTATGTTGTTTGACTTGTAATGAGGTAGAACAATAGGCAAATGAACCGCATTAAATTCTGTTAGAACCCCTGCCGAATCTACGTGTAACCATTTAGTTTCAGGGCCCGTTTAAACTCTGGTTATTCATCCTGATCCATCGAATTTACATAAAAGGAACACATCAATCATTATCATATGAATCATTCCTCCTAGAAAAGAACCAATATACCATGTTTGCATTTAGGTATCATCGACCTCGTAAAAATGGTACCATATGCAAATTGTATGTAGTGTTGCATTCGACAAGAAAATTGGGAAATAAATCGGAAGTAATTTTACAATAGATGAAAATCTCATGAATCTATAATGTGAGTGATCAATGATCAATAACATAATATACAGGGTGCTTCAAGATTGTGGTCTTTTGTCAAAAAATAAAAAAAAAGTTTAGAAATTCTTCATAAGGGAATTACTACTCACAAAGGCGAATGAAAAAAAAATTTTTTGAAAGCTTTATCTCAAAAACTGTAACTGCTATCGCGAACACACACACAGACGGAAAATGTTTTCTGTCTGAAATTTTGTGTCTCGTCATAATTCGTCGAGATTCGTCCAGAAATGCAATAAAAATTTTCAAATTTTTATTCACGAATACATAATTTCCTCACTTTGAGGTGTGAGGAAATAATAGTTTATCTTAAGCATATTCAGCTAAATCCAGATAGTTGGGTAATACTAGTCTGTTGAATCACCATGGGTCAGAATTTTCCTACACTGGCAGCTCTGAAAAGATATTTTGTGTCATTTGTTTTACTTTGACTTATTTCACAACTGTCAAACTGATGATGTAGATGCTGCGAATTTACGAAACATCTGATGTTTCTGTCAGTTTTGACAAGATGCTGACTTTACGAGTTCAAGCTTCTAGTTCTAAAATAATACTAGCGTCATTGTAGGGCTAACCATGAATTAAGTAGAAATTGCAGAATCCTGTAACACAAAATGTTTTTGTAAGTTCATCAAACAGTTTCATTTTAGGTGTCGATACAGTATTTATAGAAATTTATACATTCATATAAACAAATTTCTGATATAATTTTCAGATCTAATTTTTATCTTACCTATATAGCTTGCTCCTAATTGAAACCAGATATGGGCTGGGCCTGCTCTGCATATTGTTCTAAATTGGCGCGTATAGAATTCGTCTCGTTTCGTTTGCACTTTTCTGAGGTGTTGGTTTGGCGGTGAAGGGTGAGGGACAGATATTAGAAGAAAAAAAGATTTTAAGAAAGAGAAAATACAAACATGGTTTTGAAAAGTGAAAATTTAAAAAATTGCTCTAATCAAACAAACCTCAATATATTTTTTTAATAACAAAATCCACCTTATAATTCCCATAAATGTATTACAGAAATGGAGGAACGCAATTAATCAAGCACATGTTAGAGAACAAGCATGGTTGTCGTTTGGTTCCGTTATGTTCATTTGTCGGAAAATAATTAGAATTGAGTAATTATTCAAACATCCAGTTTAATCTCATATTTTTAAAGCATCGTAAAGTGCTTAGGAAGCAATTTAGGGGAAAATGTTGTTCTTGTTCTTTTCCTTTTTTTGTCGAAGTTTGTCGTGACATCATTGAAACACCCTATTATGTATTTCTAAAAGTTTAAGCCAACATTTTAGGACATGTTCTCCACCTCAAAATAAGAAAAATGCCTTGATTTTTTGACGATATGACAATGGTTAGAAATTCTCAGTTCCAACAAAATACAATACAACCGTCGTATATTTTGTAGCAACAAGAAAAACAAATATGACACACCTTTCTTATTTGAACTAATTTCCATGATTAAAATACAGTTTTGTTTTATTTGTTTGAGGATTAACCAAATATTGGAAAGAATAAATCATATAGTTATGATATAAGATTGATATAAGGCATGGATTATTATAAGTAGCTTTTTAAAGATTTGGTAAAAAAAAATGTATCCAGAATAGGATAGTATCAATTTGTACATGATTTTAAGAAACAGTTGCTTTAGTATCTGCAAAAGAAAAGTATGCCGTAACCATTGTATAGTTGGTAATGGTAATTAGTAAGACATCGAGAGAGAATGCAGTTATCGCTGTGTCAATAAGATTAATGTTAGGAATATTAATGTTTTCCTTATCAAGACTCACAATCAGAGTACTGGATTTTGGCCAATATTATAATCTACTATTTGCATTATATACCAAAAGTGCAAAGTTCCCTTTTCTAACGTTATGATTTCATATTTTATTTATATACCAAGAATATATAGCTATCTTCGTAAAAGTCGTAATTTATTATTTGTGTGTACGACGACAATAAGGCAGTTATAAATTGTTGTATATGAAATAGAAAGGTTTTTTATTCATTTATTTAACGTCGGTCTATTTCCGCAACCAGGGCCAATCACTGACATCGGGAGACGAGCTACCCCTAACCTGCAAATTTTGCCGAACCTCTTCCTCTATCGAAGAGTAGGGATTTTTTACTTGCCTAATACTAGATAGACAAGTGACCAACTGCTGCTGTACATCCCTTCCAAAGGATGGTATATCACCACACAACCTTCCCTAAGATTGCATATCTTCTGTGTATACGCTGATATACAAACCGCGAGAAGACGGGATGAGGTCGCCGAGTTTCTGTCACAAATACACCAAGGTATTTTTGGAGCTAGTGACGTGGCTTAATTTATTTATGTCGTCTTATTATTTTCTTTCTTTAACGATGAAGCCCCACGTTCGGGGCACCATGTCACAAATACAAGGGTTTCATTTGTGTTTTTGAATGCCTGTGTTTTTATTTCTCCCTAGCTGGGTTATTATTCATTTATTAAGTTGGGCGCCACGTGACTTACTGCTACGAAAAATAATCTTAGTTTCATTGCCTTGGTATTTGATCGTAAGGATGAAATTTTCTCAAGGTCGATTTTCATTATACGGGGTCCTGGTTTGAGATACCTGCTTCTACCTCAGACTTGGTAGCTAAAGGATTTAATCAAGCGGCTTATGCTTTCGATTTATTTACTAGGGCTAAAAAAATTTGCACAGGGGGTTCCTGGCACTTGGCTTTTTTCTAGCCTGAAAATGACTATGAAATACCGAACATATTTCTTCAGTCAGCTTTTATGCGAAAATAAAATTGTCTCTTTGGTTCCCTGTACGTGCTTTTTGAATTATGAAACTTATTTTTTTCAAAGTCGCTGAAAGCCAAAAAATAATTTGAAGAGAGGGTTTCTTACAAAATTGAATTTTGCTGACGAGATCAGGTGATTTGCGAGTGAAAAATTTTTTTTGAGCAACTCGTTAAGACCAAAAATAAAATTGGACAGGTCCTTTCGATAAACGTAAAATTCACAATCATAAAACACTTCCAAAAAATGTCTTGAAAATTTGTTGAAATTCAGCAGACTGGACAGCAAGTTGACCTACAACTCGGATACTACTAGCCTGCCTAAAAGGTCGCACAGGACTTCACAACTTTTCTTAATAATTATCGATTTGTAAAACAAAAATTCTTTTTTTTATTAAAAATTGTTTGTCGGATTAGAAAAAAAAATTGTTTAAGCAGTGCATCTTTTTTATTCTTAATGTGATTTTATTAAAATGAAAATAAATTTGA